GACCTTGCGCTTGCCAGGCAGGCGCTTTTGCCGCTGAGCTAAATCCCCAGCCCAAGATTCTTGAAATCCTAAATTCTATGTTACAATCTTTTCTCTGCCCAAGTTTAAAGCACTCTTAAAAGATTTTTCTTCTTTCTGAAAAATGCATTTTCTGAAATAGTGGGCAAAGGGTAGGGTTATATATGTAGGAGAAAGAAAAGCCAAGAGAATAGTAGATAAATTATATGGTGGGGAACAAAATATACAGTGCATATTTGAAATAAAAATATATTACAGTAAAAGACACATTGCCACTAATCCTCTGCAAAATACTCCCTGTGGAATCAAGGAATGGAGGAAGGAGAAAGGGGAGGTAAAAAGAATTAAGATGTGTTATATACATGTACCAGCTCCCCATGATGAAGATAATCATTATGCACTGCAAACATGTCCTAATAAAAATTTAAATTAAAAAGTAAAAGAAAACTACTCTTCCTTACTTCAAGAACACTTGACCTATTATTCTTGCCACTGTTTAAAGTAGTTCTGGAAGTCCTCTTTCATGAGTGCCTTTATGTGGTATGATAAAATTATGATGAACTCTGCTGCCAAGGGCTGTCCAGCAGAAAGGGAGGCTCGTAAAACATTAGCGTGTCCTCATCCGGTCATTTACCGTATCTGGCACCATGCAACTTCTGGCTCTTCCTCAAAGTCTAAATGACCATGAGAGGTAAACGTTCTGAATCAATTTAGGACATTGAGATAGCCACAACAGTGCAACTGAAGATACAAAAGAGTACTACGAGTAGTGCTTCAGACAGTGGCAAGAATGGGTCCTTGAAGTGAGGGGGACTATTTTAAGGGGGATTCATGACAACGTATCTATTACTGTAATAAGCTTTTAAAAATTTAAACGCTCACTGTATATTTCTTCATGCCTCAAATGTAAGACTGTGAGACCACTTGTTGGCACAGTTTACAGCCCTGGGAGTGAAAAGAGGGAAAGAAGATGGACCGGTTTGTTTATTTGTTTTACATTCCTAATGGCAAAATATTCAGACTACAGGTGGTCTTCCTCAGCTTATATATTTACAAGCAATTAACTCAGTTCCTTTAGGAAAATAGGAGTGGGAATTTGGTTGGAGGGCTGGATTGATGGTGACTTTTACTCCTTACAACTTTCTAGATATTTTTCCTTTGTACCATAAATGTATTTGTATGTTTATTAGTTTTAATGCGATTCACCAAAATGCTATTAAATGACTTTGAAATTGCCTGTTTTCATCACTATTGTCATGTGTTTTGCCTGGTATGATTCAACGCCTGAGGCTGAGTAACTTCTAAAGGAAAGAGGTTTATTTAGACCACAGTTTTGGATGCTGCAAGTTCAAACAGCCTGCCACTGCCTCATGGCAAGGGCATCATAAAGGGACCACATGAGAGAGAAGGCGTGAGATCACAGGACAAGGAAGAAAGCCCAATTGAGGGGAGTGGCGGGTCTTGCTGCTTTTAATAACACAGTCTGGCAGGAATCCAATGACCTAACAACTCATCAACAGTCGTGTTTCTTACAGTTTCCTTTGCCTACCATATCATCACATGGGAAACTCCCCTCCCAGTATGCCTTCTTGAAGAACAACACTGAAACTATATTCAAATCGTAGCAGCCACTGTGCCCCTCATGAGACCCACACTATTCAGAAATCCAGGTGTTTGCTTGACTTCTTAGGCTTGGGCCATATTATTGATGCCACAGTTAGAGCAAAACAGGCTAGGTAACTTACCAGCTTCTGTCCACCCAGTCTCCAGGCATTGAGAAGGTCTAGAAACTGTTGCTAGGATGTGGTTTCAGGAATGCTGAGCACAGTGTGAATTCCCATCATTTGTCAATCCCCGAAGTCCAGCATCAGAAGGGATGAACTCTAACTCAGTAATGGCAGTAAGTCATAGGAGTGGTTGGTCATTAGCAAATTTACCCATTAGTCGAAGTCAGCTTGTCTGATTAGCTAATTGCCACCACCCACCCCTTTCAACAGAAAGCAGAACCTAAAGAAGATAGAAAAGGATGGGCTCAATTTGATGAAAGACAAAAATAAATATTACAGCTCAAAAGGTTCCCATGGATGATCGACTCAGGAGGCTGAAAACTGTTTGGACTTTATCTATTTGTTTACCAGTGTTGTGATATTCTCATTGAATTTGGGTGTCTGTATGTGTACTTCCCATTTAATCCCCCACCTCTGTTGTCCTATACAGTGGTCCCGTCTGACTCATGGTTTAGTTTTCTGTGACTTTAGTTACCATGATCAACTATGGCTGGACAGTATTGAATGAAAAATTCTAGAAATAAATAATTGATAAATTTGAAGTAACTCTTACTACAGCATATTGTTATAACTATTTTGTTGCTGATTATTGTCATTAGTATATTATGGAGCCTGACTTATAAATTAAACATGATCATAGATAGGTACGTATGCACAGGGAAGACATAGTATATAAAATGCATCCATTGGGGGTCTTGGAGTGGATCGCCCCAAGGATAGGAGGGCACTTTTGTATGTGACTGTCCTTAAAGTTGTGATACCTGCTTGGTCCATGAAGTAATCCTACCAAGGCTGGCATCCAGGCTTTAGCACCTGTCCTGGTGATCCCAGCAGGATTATCAATAGATGTCCTTAAGATATTCAGGGCACCTAAATTAGGAGAAGAGATGCAAAAAGCAGTAGAAAAAAAAATGGACAAACAACATAATTTCTTCAAACCTCAGAAATCTCTGAATATCTCCTATTCAGTGGAATTATTATGGCCTCACTTGGATTTTGGAGAAGACCTAGTTAGAGAAAGCAATAGCGTTGACTGGAATACAGAAGGCCGCTAGTGGATGTTTCTTTCCTCTCCTTCTTAGAAGACTCAGCATGCTTTTCAACACTCTTGTCTATAACTCCACATACATTTCCTGAAGTAATTGGTAAGGAGCAAATATGACTGAGGAATTTCTGGGAGGAGAGCTGAGATGGAGCAGAAGTAAGTGCTCTGTCCGTTGTCCCTTGAACAGGTTTTTAACAGCGGTCCCCACACAGTCCATCACAGCAGTAGGAGCCTTATGGCAGCTCTACTCAAAACTTGGGCTGGGCAGGGTATTGATACCACTCATCCTGGCAACTGACTGTACAGAAACAATCCAGCCAGTGGCAGAGATCATCGTCACAGTCAGTTGGCTCACTGAGTGTGTTTCCTTGCTTGTTTTTTCAGGGAAGAAGACATTCCACAGCCAGATTCTTGGCCTCTAGGTTATCCCGTGTCTGTTCATTGTCGGTGCACGAATCAACAGAGCCAGTCATCTCGGCCACCTAACTAAAACTTTGGCCCATGGAGAAGCAATCTTCATTGGATGGTGCAGGAAGCCTCCGTCCCAGGGCTGGCCACGGTGTGGTCTCCTGAGCTTAGTACCCTGCTCAGCACCCTTCGCTGGGTGCACCTGAAGGACGCTCATACCCTGGGCCAGTCTCCTGTGTCTGTCTGTGTATGGGTGAACATTAACCAGAATTTCAATGACTAAATGATTAGATCAAAATTGAAACCAGGAGGCCTGGTTTGGGATGAAATCTTGGCATGTTGGTACGTGAAAACAGAGCCGCATTTTCCCTTCTCTTCACCCGCATGGTATTACCTTTGTTTGGATTTTCCATGGAGTTTCCTTTCTTAACACTTGGTCCTTGGGTTTTTTTTTTTTTAAATCATTTTACACTAATTTCCTCTTTGTCACTGCCTGAGTCCTACTCTTCCCTCTGCCTCTGCCTCTTCCACATGACTTTTCTTCTGCCCTGTGTCCTTTCTGTGGGCATTACTTGGGATATTTCTGCTCTTCCTGAGAACTGAAGAGCCTGTCAAAGAGAGAGAGAAAGTAGACTTTGTTGGCTAAAGACAAGCACCCTGGTGTCAGCTCTGAGTGGGAATCGAAGATTTGTCCCTTAATTGCAGTGTAATTTTGGGAAGTGATCTAGTTACCCTCAGCCTCAGGTTTTTCTTTTATATCTTAACAAGTATAAAATACTTAATTATATAGTCAAAAGTCATGTGTGTGTGTAAATGCCTTAGCAAAGTGCTTAGTACCTGATACTCTAAATAAAATTTAGCCTATTAGCCTATTTTTTTTTTAAAAAGATTACCACAATCTCCCTTGTCCATCAGGGTTTAAATTAATAGAGTCCAACCATGTTATTTGATGGGCTCTTTCCAGATCACACATGGGTGTTACAAGTTTTAGTTACTCTTCTACTTTCCAAATATATTCTAGTCTCTCTGTTTTGCATATTAGCACTCCGAATAATATTCTAACAAAAAGGTTCTATCTATGACAAAATTTTTCTGGGTTGATTGTAACTGATTTTTTCTTGTCCTTTCACCAGAGTTCTCAGATTGTTCTTCGCTCCTGATGAGTGGCTCCCTGACACAAAGAATCTACTTCATCACTGTTCCACTTCTGTCACTTCCTTCTAGCTACAAACCCCTCTCTTTCCTTTAAAATGTGAAACTGACCCAGGCATGGTGGCACACGGCTGTAATCACACTATTAGGGAGAGAAAGATTGGAGGATCACAGCTTCAAGGCCAGCCTAGATAACAGACCAAGACTCTATCTCCAAAATAAAAAATAAAAAACATCCTTGTCCTCATCTCTCAGAGTTCAGTGGTGGAACACCACACAGTTGCATCACTCTAGTGCCAAAAAAAAAAAAAAAAAAATCCAAAGTGAAACCAACATTTTAAAATGTGAAACATTTTCAATATAAATGAGCTATAGAGAAGTTTAGACTCCCCATCAGACTTGGTGGAAGTTCTTCACTATCAGATAATGAAAGAGAGTCACAGGGCTCTTGGTTTCATTTCAATAAAGCTGATTGCCCATTTTCTTTATCATGTGAGAAATGTGGTTACACCCAGGATTTCACACAAGAGCTTGTGGTTGTGAATTGAATCCAACAAAGCATTCTCTGTACTAAGCAATGTTGTTTCACTACCTTAAAATGTAACTTACGTTGAAACAAAAAACAGTCTGATCTTATTAAAAACAGATCAGAAATGAAGATGACCATTAGGACCCATGATTGCCTCAATGGTCACCTGGAGGTAGAGGACTCCTGCAGCCTAGTGCTCACAAACATGTGTACAGGTTTCCGTAAGTGCTGCGCTTCCAGCAGGCAAGTGCAGGTTCGGCCTTCTGCCTCCACATCTGTGTTGCACCCTCATAAGTGTAAGTCATGTGTTTTGCTGAGGGAGGTAAGGAGAAGAAAGAGAAGAATATGATGACGAGAAAGGGACCCTCAGTTCCCCATGGCTACTCACCTGTTCCCGAAAATCTTAGTACGTGAGAACCAGCCACCAAAAGGGGAAGGGGCCAAGAGACCAGAGAAAGAAGCAGAAAAATGGATTGGACACAAGGCAATTTATTAAGGAGGTATGGACAGAGGCGCATCTTGGGCAGATGAATCCACACCCTCCAAGGCAGGGAGAAAGGTTTATACGCTAAGCTAGGCAAAGTTAGGCCGAAGCCAATGGGAGTGTACATGGGCTTTCTCGAAAACTATTCACATGTCAAACATCAGTGAAGATACAGCCTGGGTTTCGGTGCCCAGCATGAAGTGTTCAGCCATCTTAACGACTATATGAACGACTTGGTTTGTCCAGTAGGGTTTAGAGTGGGCATCAGGGCAAAAGGGTGGTTACAGCCAAGGTGGTTGCAGTCATGTTGGTCTGGCTCCCCCTGCCTAGCCAGGTTGGGAGCCCACACTAAGGTAGGTGTGTCTTGGGTGAGCCTCGGTGCAGTTAATGTTCATGAAGAAAATGCTGCTTCAGGATCCAGAAAACCAAGGGAGACATTTGGTTCAAAACTCAAAGACAGCAGAACTTATGATACTTCCACACGTCACTGTATTCCCAGTGCCTGACACGCCACTGACATAGCAGAAGCATAAGCAAGGGCTGTTGAAAGACTGAAAAATGAGAGAATAGAAAAATAACTTAGGAAAGAATCTGCCTCCCCTATTTATTCCATGGTGGTCCACACTGTGACCAATGGCATTTCTGCTCCTGCCCCTGCCTTCCTCCAATCTCTTTTCTACTGTGCGGTAAGAGTAACCCACTGAACACATAAATCAGGCCCAATCACACCCCTTCTTCAAACTCTGTACTTATAATCATCTCTGTACTTATAATCATCTCTTTGTGTTGATCAACAAAACCTGTGTGCTATGGTCCCTGATTATCTCGGTGGCCTCACACTGGTCCTCATCTCTATTTGTATTCCAGCCTCTCAGACTTTTGCCTGCTCCTTAGACATCTACAGTTCACTCTTGCCACAGAGCCTTTGCACCTACCGGTCCATTAGCCTGGAATTTTCTTTCTCCAGATTTTCAAATGAAAACATCTTTCTTATGATTCAAAATTCATGTCAAAGGAGGCCTCCACAGTGAGGCCTTTTTTGAACTCCTACTTTAAAGTAACTGTCCACTCATCCTCTGTCACATTTCCATTGTCTTTTTCTTTACAGCACTAAGTACCTTGGGAGTTAGTTATTTGGCTTATTTATTTGGATTCATGATTACTCTCAGTTTTGGGGTTCCTTCTTTTCCTGCTCATAGCTGATGATTCTCCAGGTCCTAGCACAAAACCCATCACATAGTGAACCCTTGACAAATATTTTTTCACAATGAATAAATGCAACCTGGCATGCTAAGGGCTCTCTGGGCAACACCAGGGGCAAAAGAATTAGAGAGAGAAGACAGGGACTCCAAATAGAAGGTCCAAGGAAGAAGAAATGTGCATGATTATAGTTCATATTTGTAGAACTTACTGCATGCCAGATGTTTTTCCAGCGACCGGCATACAGTTCAGTATATTTAAATTATTCATTTAAATTTATAATCACTTTCCATTTAAATGTATTATCTTTTGTAATTCTCATGGTCACTCTTGAAGATAGGCCAAAGTATTATTTCTACTTCTTAGCTAAATAACTGAACAGAGAGGGTAAGGTCTTAGTACATTTTCTGTTCCTATAAAGAATAGAAGGTTATTTGTCCTCAATATCTAGTCTTTTTTTTTTTTTTTTTTTGTTTTCCTCCGGTACCGGGAACCGAACTCACGACCTTGCGCTTGCCAGGCAGGCGCTTTTGCCACTGAGCTAAATCCCCAGCCCCCTCAATATCTAGTCTTGCCCTTATTTTTTTGTAAGAGCCTGACATATTTGTAAGAGCTATGGATACCAAACATGTGAGTTTATGATTTCTGGTGGGCATTGATGACCTCCCCCTGTACTGCTGGGAAATCTCCAAAGAGACACCTCACCTCGAGCCTTGTACTACTCTAGCGCCATCCTTCACAGTACCACCAGATCTCACAAGACAGCTGAGAAAAGGGCTGGCCAGTCCGCCAGTACCAAGCCTGAGTTCACCGCTGGCACCCCATCTGCTGTGGGACATGTCCCCTCTGCTCCACAGTTCCCTCAGCTATAGAGTGGGGAAAATAATCGTACCTCCTGTCTTGGTCCCTCCAGCCTACTATAACAAGATACTGTAGACAGGGTGGCTTATAACCAACAGAGATTTACTTCTTACCTTTTACTTCTCATTCACAGTTGGCAGTAGAAAGGCAGGAAAGAAAGCCTGGAAGTCAAAGGTTGAGGTTGCAGCAGACTCAGCATCTGGTGAAGGTCTGTTTCCACATACAAAGCATCTTCCTGCTGTGTCCTCACTCAGAAGAGACAAGCTGTCTGTCTGGAGTCTCTTCTGTTAAGTCACTACTGCTAGTCAGAGCTTTACCACCTCCAAAAGCTCTCACCTTCTAATGCCATCGCATTGGGGGTTAGGATTTCAACATACAGCTCTGGGGGAGACATGATGGTTACAATCCTAACATCTACCTTGGAGGGGTCAGTGACATTTTAAAGACAAATTCCTCTGGCACATGTGTAGTATAAGGCCTAAAATTAAAGCACAATATTATATGCTTACCTAACATCTAGGGAGAACCTCAAATGGCATAACCCCTCTGCACTCTGCTTTTGAGGATAAATTCTCTTAACATTCTTTTAGCAGGGACCAGGTGCAGGTGCTGTTTTTCCCTCATATTCAGGCTTCTGCTCTGTGCCAGCCTGCAGAATTGTTGGAACAAGCCAATTACATCCTGCGGCGGGAACCACAGTGCACCCCACACCCTGCCTCCCACCCCTACTGAGTCATGCCCCACTCAGACACAGGTGTTCCCCAGGTGGCCTGCAGGACTGGCGGTGGTCAGATCTCTTGGCTGCAAGTATGTGTGACCAAAAACTGCTGCAGATCTCACCTGCCCGGGGTGAAGTGACACACTTTAACCGTCTCTAGAACCTTAGGTTAGGAATCCCAACCTCACTAATGGTGTGACTACGAGACAATGAAGACAACGTAATCAAGTGCTCACTCATGGGGCTGCTGTCGTTCCTTGAATAACTACTTTTTATAGAAAGAAAAGTAACGGGGCTGGGGATTTAGCTCAGCAGCACAGCGCCTGCCTGGCAAGCGCAAGGTCGTGAGTTCAATTCCTGGTACTGGAAAACAAACAAACAAAAAAAAAGAAAAGTAACATTTACCTTTGCATTTTAGAAAGCTATTGTATATAAGTTATCTCATTTAAAGTGATCAACAGCTCAAGGAGGTATGTGTTATCGTCTCCATTTTTATCTAAGGAAGATGAGGCTCAGAAAGGATGATTTTTACAATTGGGATCAGACCAATATCAATTGTTTATGGAGCCATGATGATGTCAGGTGCCATGGAAATACATTAGCTCATGGTTTCTCCAGAGTGTCGCAAGGTAGATACTATTGCAACCATTGAGGTAATGGGGAAAAGTGCAACTCATGCAGCTTAAGTAATTGGCAGGGGCAAAGATTTACCTCTAGTCCTGGTTGGACCTAGAATTTAGCTCTTTCTACTCTACTGTGCTTTTTATCAAGAAATCATCACTCAAGCCCACTGTATCCTCTTGCAATTATTTCCTTAATGATGAACAATTGAGTGAATCAATCAATCAATCAGAAAACTGGCTTGTTCATATCCATACCTCTCTGTCTGGTTTTTAGGTCTTTGTCTATGACATCCATCTACCTAGAAGATATTACCATTTCTGCATTCTGATCATTCCTAGGGCATTTAGCCAGTATTGACACATAGTTTGGCCTGTATAGATGACACTGATGCATTAGGTTCACAAATGCAACTTTGGAGGTACTTACACAATCTTTCCATGGAACATATTGTACCTTTGCTCACAACTTTGTGGTTTCCCATCCTAAAGAGATTATATGCATATTAGAGGATACTTACAATTAGAATTCCAGAGAACATTCATATTAATATTGAATTTACAAACATAAAAGTATTCAGTCAGACTTTAATTATCTGTTAAATTCCCCAAGCAATAATTGCTTCTAAATATTCAGCCCACAAAATATTAGAAAAGTGGGCAAAAATTTTGATGAGAAAATACCCTGGTAAGTTCCAAGTGTCCAATATAGTTGAAATTTGCTTAAAATAACATTTGCATGATTCATACTATGTTTCTATATACAATAACTTTGACCTTGACTGATATCATATTATCACATTTAAATTCTGATAATGTAAATTCATGAAATTAATTTCTAAGTAGAAGCACATGGAAAGACAAAAGAAAAGTTGAGGCCACCCAAACGGAGATAAATACGTAAATAATCTTTAAAAAATGAGTGTTAAATCCTACGAGGGTGATAAGGTTACTAGATAATCAGGCAAACTGAGAGACATGTAAAATTTTAATTCTGGCAGAGCATGAGAAAAAAAGATGGCAGCTACAAAGAGAGATAAGAAGCAGAAAACTAAAATGTTCATGGTTTCTCAAAAGTTGAGCGTCAGCTAGCATAAAAGTTTAGATTCCCTGGGACTCACAGACACGTAAAAGAAAGTCACGTTCATCATTCTAAAGCTCTTTTTCCATAGGTCTGTCCTAGTTCTCGCGAGAAACACTGGAGACAGGAGAAGACCTTAGAGAACTTCCTCCTTGGAACAGGAATGCCTATTCTGGACATTAATCATTACTTATCTTAATTTTACCCAGAATATTCAGTATTCCATCAAAAGTAACAAGACTATAAAGAAGCAAGGGAAAAGACGTTCTTGTCAAGAGGTAAAACAGCTACATGTGGTGGTGCACACCTGTAATCTTAGCACTCGGGAAGCTAAGGCAGAAGGATCACTGACAATTCAAGGCCAGGTTGTGCTACAAAGTGAGTTCAAGGCCAGACCAGAATACACAGGGAAACCCTTTCTCAAAAAGACAAAAAACAAGACGTAAAGCAAGCTAAAGAAATAGACCCAGAAACAACTGATCATAGTAGAATTTTAGTGTACAAGGTTAATATACCAAAGTAAATTTCTTTCCTATATACCAGTAAAAAAGAAACTGGACATGAAATGAAAAATATAGTACTGTGTACATTAGAATCCCACAAAAATGAGACACGAAGTGCTGTAGCTTGTGTCTAGATGT